TTTCGTGAAATACATTTTTATAGCCCGTGAAATCTTCTTTTTAACTCCACAAAAATCATGTCAACCCGATGTCGGAGTTAAAATTTATAACCAAAATATTGAAGACGTGTCAAATCCTTATCTTGTAGAATACTTTCTCAATTCAACTTTAAAAGAGTTTTCTTTAAACTTGGACTCTTATAAGGATTAAATTGCAGATTTATCTTCAAATCTTCTTATCTCAATCTTGAATCTTGAATCTTCAATCCTTATCAATTATGATTCTTCCTCTAGTGATTACTTTACTTGTCTTATGCATTATTACTTTAAATCAACCAATTTACTTGTAAAATAAACAAAACAACTAGAGAAAAAATATCAAACTATAAAATTAAGGAATTTAATCCATTTAATCACAAATAATATACAATTAATCAATCATTAAATATAATAAAATAGCACTTTTGATGGTTAATTAGTATGTTTGTATTGACCCTAAGTGGTCTATTAAGATGATCGTCCACTGATGCAGCTTTGTATTGATGCTATGATCGTATTATTGTTTTTACTCAAAGTTTTTTGTTCTATTACTTATGTATGAAATGAACTACTTTGAGATTGTCAAATTATGTTATTTTCAAACTTTCATGCTTTGGAATTAAGCTACTCTAATAAATTGGTTGACATTCTCCGTACACTTTCCCCCTTTTTCAAATTAGCAAGTGACGAGAAAGTTCGTGAATATTTTAACTACCAATTTGCATGTGTTTTCATTCTATGTGTTGAACTGATTTGTTGAAGCATGTAAATTGTAATAAGCTTCACATACGTATGTGGAATATAATAAGTCTATGACAGAATTGTACCATAGTTGTGCATAATATGTTTATCCGTCGAGTTCAATAACAAACACTCATTATGTATATGGAATTAGATCGAAATGTTTATAATTGATATCAAAGCTTACATCATTGTTTGAATATTGTATTGTGCACTTCTTATGGAAGTTATTAGCACTCTGGATATTATGGAATTGGGTCAGAGTATTACACATATTTTAAGGATAATATAGTCAATCAAAAAATTTTACAAAAATTGATATTCATACATAAGGAATAGATAATTAAAATTGATGTTAGAGGTAATTTAAAGATTTAAATACATAAGCATATGATGGTAACTTAAATATTTAATTATGTAAGGATAGAGTGACCTTTGTAATTTTTTATAAGGTAGTGAATCAAAAAAAATTCAAATTAAGATATTTTTATTAGTAGTATAAATATAGATATAGATAGATTTTGGATTTGTTCAATCTCTATTTGTATTCTAAGAACACTGCAATTATAAAGTACAATAGCCGTCCACAGTTCTACTGTTCACCTAGGCACTTCAAGGATCCCATGGAGAAATTCACTATCAAAATTCACTGAATGCATAATATGTAATTTTAATTTTAATATACTTGTGATTTTACTTGTTTTGGTAAAGTTTTTGGCATATAATGCAAAATCATCCTCCTATTCAACTCATTTAGTAGCCACACAAACCCAATTATCATATTCACTGCCAAAACATTCACACCATAAACAGGATTTCCATGCTTGTGACCCATATATAAATGTTTATTGTGTGCTTGAAAGGCTAGGCCTTAGCATTGGGTAAATGAACTCTAGTTCTCAATGTGTGGCTTGTTTGTGTTCTTTGCTTTAGGTCCACGCGTAGGGGAAGCTTATAGCAGTTTGAAGTGCTTGTAAGCATCACAAATTAATCATTTTCCATTTCCTAAGCTTTACAATCACTTCCATTCCTCCAAGTTAAAATCGATGGCATGTTGACGGTAAACAAAATTATAATGGATAAAATTACTGGCATACACCGTATTTAAGAGCCAATAAGAAATAAGCAAAGTTTAGCCTATATCCAAAAAACAATGCCCCCAATCAGAACCATAAAAGGAGACTCATAAACATCATAGAAAAAGCAAATTTTCAATAATACAAATCAAACATTCTAATCACAACCAAAATGGAAGTCTGATTAGAACAAACCAGATTTTACAAGAATAAAAACCAAATTGTCAGACAGTTTGTGTGCATGCTTCTTGCTATAATGGTATGACATTTAACCACTTCAATACAAAAAACGAATAAAAACTATACACAAAAAGGAAAAAAGTTTATAATTAAAACTATTTATAATTCAAGAAATAATTCAAAAAAGATCTAGACACGAATTGAAAAGGTACATCAATCAACAACAAAAGTGTAAATTTCCACTTATGGTACAGGTAAAACAATACTGAGCAATAAACTCCTACGTGCAAACAGCTCAGAAAAAACGTAAAAAAATTGTTAAGAGTAGTTAATTGTTTTATAGAGTTGACAATATGCTGAATAAGTGAAAAGACATAAACAAATAATATAAACAATACAGATATAGAGAGGGAATTTGTTATGATGTTAAAATAAAAATAGAGATGTACTTAGAGTAGAGAAAATTTTAACCGCGATATCAGTGGAAGAACAATATACCAAAAAATAAGCGGCTGATTCCGAGATCACTAGACAGACAGAGTGTTGAGTTACAATGTAGAGAGGGAAAATACGTAGAGTGATTCAAATGGCAGCTTGGAGTACTGAAATTGCGTGAATTGAAATGTCATATAGGCATTCCAACTTCACGCACCAAGTCCCAGAATGCGTACAGACAGAAGGAGCAATGGCACGAGACGTTGAGATGTCGTAAAGAGTAATTTGAATGCGTAGAGTAACACATGTTTTGGTGCTGAGTGGAAAAAAAAAAAGTTTAATTATTGATGAAAATGTGAAATGATTTAATGTATTTTTTTAGCTGGGTTAAGAGCGTCTTCAGCCACAACTAAACCTCTATTTCTCCAATATCATACGGTATCAGTGAGTTTTTTGTCAATGACAATAAGAGTCCCTAACAGAATAACAGACACCCTAACGAACTAACGAACTCGGGCCGTTCCGTTCAGTTATATAAACGCGCACTGGAGTCTTCAATTCCCATCATCTTCTCTCTCAATCTCTGAAACCTTTCTCTCTCTACAGCAACGACTCTAAAAATCCATGGCTACCTCTCTGCAAATCCTCACCGTTTTCACCTTCATCTTCATCTCCACCACCATCACCACGGCTGCCACGACAACCACCGCTCCAACCCCATCTCAAGACCTCTTTTACTCACCTTCTTTCCTTCCCGCTGTCTTCTCTTCTCTTGGGTTCCAAGAACTGTCCACCGCCACTAACCTCTCTCTCATCACCACTGCCACTCCCATCACCATCTTCGCCCCCACTGACACCGCCCTCTTCACCTGCCGTTCTTGCTCGCTGCCTGTCCTCCTCCAAGAACACTCTGTCCCCGGACTCTACCCACTCCATGCCCTACTCTCCTTAGCTTTCGGCACGAAAATCGAAACCCTAGCCCCCAATCGCTGCCTCACAGTCACCTCCACCTCCACCACATCATACGCCATCAAGAAAGCCTTCATCAACGGGGCTGAAATCTCTCACCCAGACCTCTTCAACAATGGCCACATTATCATCCACGGCATCGAGGGCTTTGTCTCTCACCTCTCTCCACTTTCTTGCAATGTCGAACGAATGACGTCTCTCTCATTCCCTCAACAATCCGCCACTCCAGACTTCTCCATCATGCGCTCCATGCTAAAAGATGCCATGTTGAGACTGCGCATCAGTGGTTATAGCGTCGTCTCTCTTGCTCTGAGAGCCAAGTATCAAGAACTGGTGAAACTTCGGTCCATGACTGTTTTCGCTCTCGACGACACGGCGATGTTCGCCGGAGGACACTCGTACCTACCTAATTTCCGGTTCCACATTGTACCGAACAGGTTGTTGAGGGCCGCTGATTTGGTGAGTTTGCCGACGGAGACGATTTTGCCGACTGTGGAAAGTGACGAGAACTTGCTGGTTACCACCGGTGGCAGTGGAGATCCATTGGCTCCCATGAGGATCAACTACGTCAAGATCCAGAGTCTTGATTTGTTGTATAACAACCGGATTGTGGTTCATGGACTATCGACTCCGTTCCCTCATCTCCACCATCCATCGTCTGACAACGGTTTTGGCCAGACCGAAAGGACTGAATCGGACGCTGGGGAAGGGGTTAGTGAAATTGTGGCCCCACCGCCGAGAATTGAAGAATCGACGATGGAGATTGAAGATCAACATGCTCTGTGAGATCTAGTGAAGTTACAGTGATGTCTATAAAGAATGTAATTGGTAGTGTGTGTAGGATAGCACAAATTGTTTTTGGAGTTATATCATATGAGGTTGTGCACATTAATCTTTCATGTTCTCTTTCTTTCTGCGGATTTCATTGTATAAAACTGTTCTTGATTCTTCAATCCCAATCTTTTGTATTCGCGTTCTTGTTCAATTTTCTACTTAATTTCTGAAAGTGAATTTCTGGTGCAGCAGAACAGTAATTGCTTTGATTTGATTTATAAACAGTCGAATTAGGTCAAAGTCACGTGGTCGACCCCGCCATATGCACTCGCTCATTCTCTCTCTCTCTCTTCCTTTAGTGGAGGAACGCCACCAAACTTGACGGAGAATCAAATGATCGCGAGCATTTCTTCCCAAAAGACCAAGCCAAAAAAGCTTCGATTGCCTTCTATTGAAAGCAGGATCGACGAATCGAATCGAATCAAGTTCTTCTGATTATTAAGAATTTTTTTATGCTGATGATTCCATTGATTTCAGGTGAGAAATGATTTGTCTATATGATTTGCATTGAAATCTTTTAATCTTCTACATTATCATGTTCGCGATTCATCTTCTGTTATGGTAGATCCGAAGAAATTAAAAACCTAAATCGGGCGTTTGTGGTTTTATTTCTATGCACCGAATGATAATTAATCGTGTGCTGTGCAGAGATCCAATTGTTCCCGCCGGCTGAAGAAATTATTTCGCTGGAATCATCTTCGAGTTTCTCTGTCGATTCAGCTTAGCATTCGTAGATTCTTCTAATAAATGGGAGACTCATTTCAAACTCCTGGCTTGATAAGAAACTATGAATCGACTAGTAGTAGGAAACGTTTGATTGCTTCAGCCGCAAAGTCCTTGTCACCAATAACTTCAAAGCAAATAGCTTCAATAAAGCATGGTAGATTTGGAAGAGGGACTGCTGCTCAAGTAGCATTGTTTTTACTAAAAATTGCTGCACTAGAGATGGTTCGCAGGTTCTCAAGAGCCAGGTGTCCATTTTTATGGTCTGGTCTGCAAGTTTTGCAAGTTCTCTGCTATTCACCATTAAAGTGGATTCAAAGATGGAAACCTTTGAAGGTTTTGGTCAAGGGCATGAAGGTTCGTTCTCTCAATCAAAGAGGCTTACGATTCAATTTGAGTTATGCTGTTGATCACTTACTTATACATGGGGTGTTAGAAGTGTGATTTGATTCATGGGGAATTGTTTCTTTCTTTTTTCTTCACCTCTTAATTTTGATGCAAAGTTATGTTTTAACTTTAATTTGTGAATTCCACTGCTTTTTTAAGGCTATTTTCTGTTTAAAGGTTAACAGTCTAGGTTTGAAAGGGCTTTGAGGAAACTTACATGCTGTGGAGATCCCACAGCCTCTCTTGAATCTTTGTTATCACGTTCTTTTTCTGTACTCATTCATGTGCTCACATGTATGTTAGTTACATTCTTCAACTTTTTTGTTGATTCTTTACACTAAAGCCTGCTTGAATGTTGTCATGCCTTTGTCAATTGAAATTATAGCTCCATCTTTAGCAAATTGGCATTTCTTTTAAGAAAATATCCAATTGATATCATCGTTTTTCCTGGAATACTAGGAATAAATATAACCAAAACTAAACTATATTCAAATTAAGTCAAATTAGTTTATTTACTGAATTGATCCGTTGTAACTTAGTTGTGCTTTGAGAATGAGATTTGAACTTCAGTAGAAATACCCAGTACACCACAGTGCATTCAAGACTTGGCTTATTGAAACACCCAGTACACCAAAGTGCATTCAATACTTGGCTTGTGAATGGGTATTAATTATAGAAGTCAAGAAATAGTTATCTTCATATTTTTATCATAGGGACAATGGGACATAGAGACTAATGAATCAGGTTTTTGATGAATTTGATTGCAGTTGTCTCGTCGGAGTGAGAATTACTACAAGCACATACTATTTCTATTTGGTTGCTGTTAATGTAGTGATTGTGTATCATCTTGGTATGTTTTTAATCATCCAAAATTTTATGTTCTTAGTTGCATGGCCTCGAGATGTGTTTGCTATGATCAAGTTTGTACTCCCATCTCGAGTAATTATTCTATCTTTTTGCTGCTTGCTAAATGGAAGTACCTTTAAACCCACTTTCCTTGACCTTTGTATGTATAATCCTGCAGGACTTATGATGGTTACAGCATGTTTTTGTTATAGGTATTATCAAGGCCATTATTAGTTCTGTCTATCACGACTGCTTTCTCTGATCAATCAGGGAGCTGTAATGTTACCTCAGATGGTACCGAAGATTCTATTGGCCTTAATGATTCTCCTGCAGTTCCAGAATCGCATGCTGAGTTTCCATCTGTACAATCTACTCTGGATACAAGGTACATAGAAGGGATCTCCATAATGTTATTGCACATCTTACAAGTCAAAAAACAATTGGTGGTGGATAATTTTCCACATAGAGACTTGCACATATAAACATCTGCCTGCTAGGCAACATGGAAAAACACAACCATTATTTTCCCACCTAAGTAGTTATAAAAAAGGAATAATAATGCTAATAACCCTTGGCCTACAGCATGAAATTTTTGTAGACCAAAGAAAAGGCATTAATTGAGGTTGCTGAAGCCTAGGTGCTCATTGTTATGTAAGTTCAGATCCATTTCTTTGTTTTAAGAATTTCGCTTTAATCCCCAGCAAGGCAAAAAGAGGGGATAGTGGGGGTGAGGGAGACCAAAGGATTTGCCGTTTGCTTCACTTTGATCCACCAGAAAGGGCACTTCTTGTGTCAATAAATGTTTATCTTTGTGGATTTTTTTATCAAGAGCTTACTCCCCCCGCCCCCCCCAAAAAAAAAAAAAAAAAAAAAAAAAAA